GATTGTTCCTTCATGGCATAACTGAGTTGGCTAGCAATTAGGAAATGATGTGGAAAATCACAGGGATCGGGTTCTGATTCATATCCTACCATTACATTATTATTCCATTCGAATTTGTAGACCTGTTCGATTCTCAACAAGTCCATCCCTCTAGAAACATGGGACGACTCTTCACTGCTTGGCAGAACATCAACAGAATGTTTTTCATATCTATTTATTTAGATTTTGTAGCTAGTAGAACAATTGAGAGTCCTCAGTGACTGATTTAATTTCTCCCTGGTTAAAAATTTGTTGAAAATACATAATTTAATTTATGAGAACATAAAAATTTGTTGAAAATACATAATTTAATTTATGAGAACAATTCTAGAAAAAATTGAATTATTATCATTTGATTAATAACTTTTTTGATGTCACTGATAAACTCAAATTGACAGTTTTGAAAAAACATAATCAAAGGGTTAATTAAAATGAAAATTTTCATGATGAGAAGGAGCCATAATCAATCAAACGTATACACTATAAACTGGATTTGGATATCCTCTCCATCAGACTTTTCTCTTCTTACTAATTAATTTAAGAGTAAAATACTCTGACCTCCCTTCTCTTTTGTCTTAATTACATAGACCTCCTCTCTATTTTGATAACATATATTTTAGTCCAAGCCATTAACATGATTAAGGAATATTCTGAAAAGATTCTTTATATATATGTTTTTTAATTTAAAAAATATTAGAATAAACCTTGTTTTCTACTTTACCTCTTATTATTCTAAACTATTCGCTCAGTTATCTTTTTTATTTAACCATGCGATTAAATCACTGATTATGACCTTAAACTAAATATACTATTCATTTAATTATTACCTTAAAAACATTTAATTATTAAAAAGTGTATACTGAAGTGCCGGTAATAGTAGTAAATATAGAGCCATTAAATAATTGAATGAATGGATAAGACTGGATATGAAGAGAAGTATAGAGGGGAATTATGAAGAGGGTCAAGATCGAAAATTTGACTTTGAAGATATTAAAAGGAGACAAAGTTCTAACAGGATTAGAGGCCCTTCCCACTTTGTTCTTATTCTATTTTTTATTGAATCGTCGAACGATAAAATTATATATGATTTGCTCTACATTTTACGTGGTTTCACTTAGTTACTATAGACAGAGAACACAAATAATTTCTCACTGTCAGAAAGTGCTTTGCAAGCAAAGCATCTAGTAGCTAGGAGGGGTCAAAAGAAAAAGCAGAATAAAGTTAATTGGATAGTTTTGACGAGGTTAGGCACATTGACATAAGACATGAATTAATGCATATCCTTGTAGATTAGGTAATTACACGTGGAAAACTACATGGAGAGGTCTTCGTCATGACTTTATAGTAGTTGGGAATTAACTAACTGAGTATTTAATACATATCCCACTTGTTATATATATTTGACTATTTTTCACTCATTTATGCCAATGAACTCTCCATAATTAACCCCCCCTCAAAGGAAAAAAAAAAAAAAAAAGACTTTAATCAACGTCAAGCAGCCTCAGTGTCCTCTTAGAATTCAAACGATATAATCGGACGTCCCATAAAGTCTGATTCTCTTCTTCAGTCTCCGACGACCACAAAAATCAAACGGGTCAATATCACACTGGAAATTAAAAATCTGCTAACACAGATTGAGTTATAGTTAGTGGATTGATCAGTAATGATTTAGAGGTATAACAGGACAGGCTGAGGAATCTACTCCCTCCTGTTCCAACACTTGAACGACACATTAATTATTCATCTTTGTTCAATCTTCTAGTTAATTAGGATTGATTTTTGTTTGCGCACACAATTTAATTTCTGGTCGGTCTAATTCAAATATACTCGCTTCAACTTTTTTTTTAAAAAAATCACAACTACTTCACTCGCAGCCTAATTGAAAAAAGCCTGACCAAACCATATGTAGTTGTCTCGAACAGGTTCAGTGAAGCCTAAAAAATAAAGCACGAAAAAGGATGGCACGAACGAAGTGATCGACCTTCCTGATATAGTAAAAGAAACGGACTCATTATGCACATATATACATGATTCAATGAATATTCTGAATTCAATACCTCCTGCTGAGCTAACTCCATATATCCCTTTACCTGAAAAACTTAAGAGCATATATTCATCAAGTTTATGTGCTTGGCATTTTTTATGTAACCTGGTCAAGATATTTTGTAATATACTATGGGCTATGCCAGAGAGGAGCATGTAAAGTGAAAGAATTCTCGGTCAACAAGTTACCTAGCCTAGCCAGGACCGAGCACATATCCGGTGGAACAAGGCATTGCCATTTGCCAATGGCTACATCTTTTTCTTACTTAGGCTGACACAATACCCCAATACTTAAGCAAACGTGTGTAGAGAAGCGTTCGGCATGGGTGTCCTCATCAACCAAATTAAAAGCATCTTTGAACAATATTAATAGGTCTAGCACAAAATCGTATTCCCCCGAGTTCAATACTTGGTGATAACATCGCCTTTTTCCTGGTATCATATTTTTATATCCAAGTTCAAAGGCCCCGCATTAATTATCTCCACCGAGTTTGGCTCTTTCTCTCAACCCCCCCCCCCTTTTTAAGTTCAATGCATAGAACCAAGACTCTCCGTACACATTTTATCCACTTTTGGGTGAGCTTTTAATTTGACCTTTTTCTTTTCGCTTTGCTGCTCTCAACTTTTCTCTCTATTTCGAGACCATGCTGTATATCTACAAGACTCAATCATGCACGTCGCAGCTTTTGTACCAGAGATAGATTATATATGAGATGTGGCTATGTATATATCGCAAGAGAGTTATCCGATCGGTACATTAGGTATACAATAATTTCAGAAAAGTTGGATGAATGAGAGTTTTAATTGTGCGAGAGGATCAATATTACCAGCCAGGACCACCAAAACAGATGAGGATAACTGAGAGTACAACAAGATATTGCCATCTGGGTCGTTATGGGAATGACGCGTTGGCTGAAGCATGGCCTTGGCTCATTGCTTTTCTCTTATCTGTGGTTAAGAATGGAGCATCACTTCTTAACGTCGTTGATTTTACCTAATGATATAGAGAAGACCACGTCACGTGGCTTCCTTTCATTCAAAGTTTGACTCTCTCTGATACTTACGTGTCTAGCTGGCTCCTAGTTAGCCTTTGCAGAAATCATTGTTCTCAGGAACACAATACCAGTGATATTGATTTTTTCTTTTTTCGTTCAAAGGTATTTTTCTTTTGATATAACAATTGGTGGCAAAATGATCGTTATATGCTCCAAGTAACATATATAGTCTTCGGAGACAAAAACATAGAAAATGTCATGGTCTTTAACAATAATGGGTGTGCCGTACGTAAGTTACTGATCCACGAGAACTAATATGAATGCTACCTACCTCGCATAGGACCGTGATTGAGCAACTTCTACTTGAATTCATACGCAAGTATTTCGTCATTCTTTGATCATAATAATAGATTGAGAGAATATGAATCTTGCTGGTTTAGATTAGAATAATGTCTCTCATTTGTGGTGAGCAAAACCAACTTATCTGCAGAAATGCATATATCAGTATTTGACAGGGCCAGGTTTTCTCAGAATTAATGGCGATGGAACAAAAGCCCTGATGGATGTACAGATGTGTGTAGGATATTTAATATTGAGCTCCGAGATTTACATGTTATAATTGTTTTTGTTAACTAGGTTTTGGTGAATAGAATAATTACATGTGTATATCAGAAATATCTCATATGATGAGAAAGTTTCCTTTTGAATTAAGAAACACCAGAGTGGCGAGAATGAAAAGGACTGGTGTATGGACCACAGAGAGGGCACTAACGATATTTTGAGGCGATGGTATTTTCCAAATCCCAATCAAGGAAGTAATAAGTGGCCGTGCACAGAAAATTGAGAGAGATAGATAATTCCACTTGTTTCTTTACTTTCATGATTGCCAAGTGGACCAATCGGCGAAACCCACTTGTGGGGTCCTTGTAATTTCTGGCTGGAAATTCTGTGTTAGAGACGAATATGCTTTTTCAAATTTTATTTTTCTTGCTGGTTTGGTAAGGACTAATAAGCGAGGGGAGATCACTGAGGAGTGATTTTGATTGGGAATAAGAAGAGGGAGCATCTTCTTTTACACGAACATCCACGGGAACTCGTTAGTGGTGCGATTGATGATATGGAGAAAAGCAGGCCCCCCAGCAAAGTGCCATGGACACTGATTATTGGGTATTTGACTTTTCAATCCAATGCTCCATTTTCACATACTAGTCCCCTTGCCTTTTGTCTTTGTCTTTGTCCCTTTCTAAATGCTCTATGTCCCTTTTATCCTGTCTACATACATAATTAAACCATCCTTTCCTCCATCTCTCCTATAATTGCTGCTTTCTTTCCATTTTTATTGATAAAAATCTATCTCAGATATTTAACATCAATCTGTATGTATTTGGTCAGTTGTTCATTTATTATCGGTAACACAAGTTGCTGACCCACCTGTCCCTCCTCGTGCCATGGTATTTTTTTTTGGGACAGAACAGCTGTGGCTTTTATAATCTTATTCATGTACGTGGAAGTGGTGCAGTCAAAAGGGCATTTGGTAGAAGCTGAGCATGCAAAATTTGTGGCGTAGTAATGCTGATACAGAGGGCATTAGGACAAAGCTCATGCTGCCACTAATAATTGTGGGATTTGGGGGGGGGGGGCTGTGGGGGTCAGGTAGACACGTGTCGACAGGTCATCTGAAGGAGTGTGATCTCAGAGCACCGCCGCCATCAATGGGGGAAACGGACAAAATGGAAGTGTGGGCGTGTGAACATAGGGGCTGCTTTTGCTATGAAGCTGTGAGAGATGGACCCCGCTTTTGGAAATTTTAGAAACTGATCCCCCCCCCCCTTGCTCGTCCTGTGGTAATCTCCAATTGGCCCCACCACACGACAAATTTCCCACCTCCTTATAACCCCCTTCCCTTCTTCCCATCCCAAAACTTTCAACTCTCTCCTCTTCCTCTGTTGTGATCATAACATTATGGCCAGCCCACAGTCTAATTTACCTCCTGGTTTTAGGTTTCACCCTACTGATGAGGAGCTCATTCTCCACTATCTCAGGAAGAAGGTCGCCTCCATGCCCTTACCCGTCTCCATCATTGCCGAGGTTGATATCTACAAGTCTGATCCCTGGAACTTACCTGGTACTCTTTCTTCTTCTTCTACTCAATTGTCTCTCACACAGACATACATACATATATGGAGTTTTATGATGACCTGTTGATGAGTATTGCTTGTGTGTATAACAGAGAAGGCAGCGTTTGGGGATAAAGAATGGTACTTTTTCAGTCCCCGTGACCGCAAGTACCCAAACGGGGCGAGGCCAAACAGGGCAGCTGGTTCAGGGTACTGGAAGGCGACGGGCACTGACAAGACGATAGTGGCATCGTTGCCTGGAGGAGGAGCGACGGAGATCGTGGGGGTGAAGAAGGCCCTAGTGTTCTACACTGGAAAACCCCCCAAGGGCGTCAAGACCAACTGGATCATGCATGAATATCGCCTCCTCGACAACACCAGAAACAGACCTGTCAAGTTCCATGACTGCTCCATGAGAGTAAGTGATTCCCATCACGAAACCATTATCTGTTTGATTTTATTCATCGTCCCCTCATTTCTTCTTCCTTTCTGGCTCATGGCAGTTGGATGACTGGGTTCTTTGCCGAATTTACAAGAAGTCCAAATATGCAGAATCTCCCACTGCAGAAGCAGAAACGACCTTGGTGGCTGACCAAGATACCGCAGAAGAGCAGATATTGCCGAGCTCTCAATCTCCCTCTCCTCATCAAAACATTCTGATTCCTCAAAAATCAATGTCTTTCTCGAACTTGTTAGATGCCGCAGACTTCTCCATGTTGAGCAGCTTATTGTCTGACAACTATTCCACCCCACCTGGATTTGAATCAGGCGCAGCTGCTGCTAGTTCTAACTCTGAAACTATCAATCTGGATCAACAATCATCCCAAAACACTCACGCCAACAGCAGTTTCTTGCTTCAGAGGACCCCCCAATTAAATCCCTCCATCCAAAGCATGGAAAACAATATGCACAAGCGTCACATTTCAGGCCTGGATGAGGATATCTCATACCCATCAAAAAGGTATCTCAGCTCTGCTTCCTGCAGCTTCCCTACCAACAATACCAACCAATTCGAGAATCCACAGTGGAACTTCCTCCTCAAGCAGTCGTTGTTGAACCAGCAGTTACTTCCGGGGCCTCATCTTCGCTTTCAGGGATAAATCCAAACACTTCTAAAACAATTTTTTCAAGAACACTATCTTAGGTGAGATAAGTAAAATATCTAGAAGCTGAGCCCGCAGGGCAGCGCATCGTCTGATCCATCCGCTCCTTACGTATGGATTAGCACGAAAAGATATTAGGGGTCGCTTTTTTCTCTCTCTCTCTCTCTTTTTGTTTTTTGTTTTTTTTTTGGAAGGAGGTAGCTAGGGAATGAAATGGACAAGAGAACTGTTTAATTGATAAGGAACTGAAAGGGGAGATTCTGGCGTCATGAGTGAGGAGACTGTTTGGGGGGGGGGTGGCGGATCAAAATTCAAAAATGATTCGTGCACAAAATTAATTAATGATCTTAATTTGTACGCGTTGGGCTGGCGGGTAAGCTTCAAAAGATACCTGTATTAGATAAGGGATTGCTGATTGTGAAATGTGATGATATGTGATTCTTTTCCAAGGAAAAGTCCTCAGTTTCTCTGTTTTAGAACTTGATTCTCAACATTATCTCACTATTTCCGTGCTTTGCTTTTGTCATGCAACCATGCGGATGCAAATCCGAATCAGAACCAAACAAATTAAAGAACATGCACGTTCTGCGAGCTAAGAGCACCGAAATATGACTGTGACTAACTAATAAATATAACCGAAGTACCCATGAAAGGGGAGGAGGCTGTGAATAAAAGAAGAGAAGAAGAGGAACGTGGAAAATGGGGAAATTATATTATGTATTGAGTATATTGGGCATGCATTAAGGAAAGCAGTTTCGGAGTTGCTAAGGTTGCATGAATGAGGGGCAAGTAATCCCGAGGGAGCGTGGTGGTGTGGTTGTTGAATAGTTTAAGTGAGCAGTAAACACATGGCATGGGTTCTTCGTGCCTCGGTTCCCATGCGTATTTCTATCTCTCCACGTTAATTAATTGCCTCCCCTAGCCTACCCCGCCCCCACCCCTGAGCTCGCACTTGTCTCTTCGCCAAACCCTCTCTCGCACACGCTCTGTCCTATTCGTCATTCAATTTCAACTTATCATTCAATCTATCCTCACTTTGTCACTTTTGTTTTGTTCCATTATTCGACTCACACCCCTTCTTTTTTCCACCCACCAGATTCTTTAAACCAAACAATACAAATTAAGAAAATTAACATTAAAATTATTTTATAAGAAAAGAATCGTGTAAGAATATAATTACCATTCATTGAATTTTTGAATTCCATCATAAAATAAAATATGCCTCGACTAGGTAAGAGAGAGGGTTATAAATTTAACTATGAAATATATAAATAAACAAAACTTAAAACCTTCCTTGGCGGCCGCGACCCTTCATTGGTGGATTACTTGCAACAAAATTTCTATTTTTTTTTTGGATTAAATAAATCCGCATCATCACAAACACGATCATCAACAGTTTATAATAAGACTCGACAGGATGGGGTTACTTAGAAATAAAAAAGCATTGGGCCTGGGGTGAAGCCCAACAAGACTGTTCCCAAAGCCCAAGAGGAGGGGGGAGGATCCAAGACGCGTGTCGTTCCTCGTGACATTGTCTAATTGGTTCTTGTTTAGGGATAATTACACAAGCTGATGATTGGGCCAGAATCATGAATGCCCACCGCTTACTCTCTCTTTAGAATAAGAACAACACACAGATTATGAAAAGCTTGTTGCGCAAATTGAACAACACAAGCGCTGTTGTGGTTCCATCAGATCTCTACCCATTTCAACGACCCCCTTCACAATTATGTCACTTAATTAACATGTTCAACGTCTCACCTTACCCAGTCCTCAACCACCAAGGCCCCCATTGAGAACACATTCAAACAAACCTCTTTTCATTTTACGAAATAAAACCTTTTCTTTAATGTAACGTAAAGTTATATTAAAAATACACAAACACCTGGCAAATGGCAAATGGCAAATGGCAAATGGAATAATAAGTTGCCCGCTCCTCTTGACGTTCGTGCGAGGCACGCCGATATCAGTTCAGACCCGCCCCTCACAATGCATACGCTGGCCACGTGTCCACTGATTTCGCACCAGAGGGGCCCACCGTGCTGATCACCATCACGCGGTCTGGTTTCATTTTCACATCGCCGTTCTGCTGTTCCTTTTCTTTCCTCTATCCCTCGCTCATTCGTGTCATCACAAGAAACTGAAAGAAATCCACTATGGAGTTCCCCTTTGGCCATCCCTCGCACCATCACTCCCACCATCACAAGAGGGACGATCAACCTGAAGATTACCCGCCACCGCCATCCAATTTCTCTGACCTCCATAATCCTCCTCCTCCTCCGCCCCCTTCGTTCTACGGCGGTGATCAGCCGCCTCCTCCACCCATACCTCACCCAGCTCAAGTCTACCACACTTCTCATGTTCCATCTCAACCACCTCCCTACAACTTTAACTACTCTGATCTCCCTCCTCCTCAATCGGGTCCCCTCCCCTTCAATTACTCATCCGAGGCACCGCCTCCGCCGCCCCGCGTTCCTGCTTACGCCCCCCCGCCCGGCACCGCAGTATCTGTGCACCATGTTTCTCATGAAGTGGAGACGTATGAGACCCACCACACCAATCGCCCCCATTTGCCTTCCTTCGTTCATCATCATACTCATCACGAAACCTCTGCCACTGTCTCTTCCAACAGGCGCACTGTTAGGGTCTTCTCCAGGGCTGCCCCCAATTTCTCCCTTACCATTCGGGATGGCAATGTCGTCCTTGCTCCATCCGATCCCACCGATGACTACCAGGTAGCACTTACCCGCAACTTCGATTCTTACTGATACCTTGGATTTAGCTGCCGGCGTTTGAATTTGGGTCATTCCTTTAGCTAGTGTTGTCAGCGTATATTGGGTCCGGCTCTTTGGAGTTTCTGCGTATCTAGGACATTCTTATTTTTCAATTCGGTACAAATTATGAAGATAGGATCATCCCTGAATTTGTTGACTGTCTGACTGACTGATTTGACTGTTCATGCTGTTCATTATTATTGTTGCAGCATTGGTACAAGGATGAGAAGTACAGCACAAGGGTGAAGGATCAAGAGGGGTGCCCCGCTTTTTCTCTGGTCAACAAAGCTACTGGTGAGGCCGTTAAGCATTCCATCGGCGCCACTCATCCGGTAACTTCTCTTTCTCATCAAAGTTCGATTCTTTTGCTGCGCCAGTCAAAGTTATTAGGGAAACCAATCAAGCCATCACATGAGCTAAAATGAATAATATCGCTGGACTGTTCAAAACCGTACCATTTCCTGATGTTATTCCAAGTACCTTTCTAGAATTTACAGTATTGTGTTGGCTTTTCCATTTCCAGCATAATTCGCTTGTGAACTCTGCCTTGACGACTTTTTCTTGATTAGTTGATGATGAGCTCCGTGCAGTTCTATTCATGTTCATTCGACCGAATAGCATGAGCAGTGGACTGTGCTGGTCCAATACTCAAATGTTGAATTCAAAATTTGATGAAATAAAAGTGTCGTATCATTTTCTTCCCTCTTAAAAAAAGAAAATTTATCCGCATCAATGTGCTTTCCGTACTGATTTAGGTCTTGGAATGTGATCAGTGATTTCTCTTGTGCATGCTCCTTCCTGTTGCGTCGTGAGAATAAGCAGAGGCCCTTTTTTTGCTTAAAAAAAGAGTCTTTCGTAAATGTCTTGCAGGTTCGACTGATACCTTACAAGTCTGATTATCTTGATGAGTCAGTTCTGTGGACTGAGAGCAAGGAGATTGCTGATGGTTATAGAGCTATAAGGATGGTTAACAATGTTCATCTTAATGTGGATGCTTTCCATGGTGATAAGAGGTCTGGGGGTGTTCATGATGGCACAACTATAGTCCTCTGGGAGTGGAACAAAGGTGATAATCAGCTCTGGAGGATCGCATCCTACTGTAAGTCTTTCCGAGACCTAAAAAGAAATTTTAAAAAAAAAAAAAAATCTTTCTACGTCTTCTACTTGCTTAATAACTAACTATAATATATTCCAAATTCCTTTACCACCATCCCTTCATTGGTAGCTTATAACCCTGATCGGAAATAGCTTCAGTTTTTATCAATGCTTGATAGAACTAGGATTTATCAACAATTGACTAAATCACTGGTGAGCAGTATTATGGGTTAAAGAAATAGCATTTATATTTATGGTGGTGATTAAATGCAGGAGAACGAACTAAATTTATTGGAGAGAATGCCGTGCCCCTCTGAAGGTGCAGTATCTTTATGAACTCAAGATGCGACGACTGCTAGCTCTGCTGTTTGAGTGACATTTATGTCTGGTATCTTATGCATTTACAAATGGTTTTTGCTGCATTTACATTTATCAATTACCTGTCTGTGTGTGACTGGTGGGAGAGCTGTAGCTGTGTGTACACATGATGCGTTGAGCTGTTACTGTTGCTACTGGGATGGAACTGGTGTTCACTAATTATTATTTCCGTTACCATCTTACTATTAAGCTGATACGTGCGGGTTAGGGTAAACCACTAATTTATCTTTATTTGTCAGAAACAGTTTTCGTAATTTTCTTTTTGAAAATTGATCATTAAGATATGAAATAACCAAATGAGGTTGGGATGGGAAGAGTTCATTCAGAGGATAGAAGAACTCCGATTTGATACAAAATACAAAGCAAATGTGTCATATACATGATAAGTCAAAATCCACGTGCATGTGTAGAACAAAGGAAAACATCAGCAAAACATAGAAAAATGAGCAGAGAGCTTTTGGAGATCATAGAAGATTGAATTAAAGCTACGTTTAGTAGAAAGTATTGAAAATGAAGAATTGAAATTGGAATTGCAACTGAGAAAATCTATCAAAAAAGTACTTAGTATAAGAAATTAATTGTTATATGGGATTAATCAAATCCATGTATGTGAGGTTGGAGAATACTATAAAGAGAAGTGGTATCTCTCAATCTCATCTCTATGGGTTTGTCTAATCGCATATATTAAGTAATTACTCATGCTAAATATTATTTTAATAAATTTTTTTAATTGTAATTCTAATCTCAATCTTTCATTTTTAATATTTTGTACCAAACGGGATCTAAGATCATTAGGAAAATAAAGTAAGTTTGTAAAATTTTCCAGTACCGCTCTGATACAATTCGTGTTTGAAATTTTAGACGCGCAAAAGCTGGTAATATGGTGCTTCAATTCACGTAACACGATGGGGAGATACAGAGAGACAGAGAGAGCTTGACTTTGTCAACCTTGAACTTCTTGCTTTTGAAACCGAGACAATCTGGTTGCTTCTACGCTAGCGTTCATGGCTTGGGAATGTTGTCTTCTTTCCCATTACAAGCGGCGATGGAGTCGGTCCTTTCCTTTGGATTAAATTCATTGAATTTTCAATTACTTATAATCTTCTGGTCCTTTGACTGTACTGCCGTAAATTCTGGACCTCTTTTCCCCCCGATATTACATCAGTTGTTATCATTTACTCTTCCGATAACTAATCAAGCAAGGTTCTCACGTGTCTCTTGTATCTGCAAGATGATCAAAACGAAAATTTTTCAGCATAACTTATAAAAAAAGAAAAAATACGGGATTATTTACTGGAATGTACGGTGTTGAGGGAGTCGTCGTCGTTTCTCAGTTTCAAAGAGGAGAACATATCCCATTCGAAAATTTATATAGTAATTATTATTTGGTTCTTATCCAAAGGCATAAAAAGAACTTTTGATTCACACAACTTTCATAATTCAGGACCGCATAATCTGCAGGAGCCTTTTACCCGAGTTTAAACGAGTAATGGTCTCGCACACGCCTTCCGAAGTTTCGTATGACTCTTCTTTTTAGTTTTTGAAAAAGTGTAAAGTGTTCTTCGAGTAAAAAAAGAGCGTTTGAGTGAAAATAAATAAATAAAAACAACCTGAGATATAATCCTTACGGAATGATCGGCCTTCCATTTTTGTTAAAAAAAAATATATTAGAAATGAAGATGGGTAGACGTACATCCACGTCCGGGGAAATAAGATTCGTGTCCAGGACGGGAATATTCTTGTAGTAAACTTGTTTGACTGTGTGCCGCGAGTTCGATACTGATTTGGAAATCCCTTGAAAGAAGCATCTGCTTTGGCAAAAATGAAACCAGTGGGCCGTACTTCAAATGAGGCTGTCCTGATGGGCTTCCACATCTGTCCAAAGCTTACCAAATCTTGGCGGATGGTATCTGACTAATCCGTGCCACTCTACATTTTGTTTCCATTCTAATTCCACCGTTTCCCATTTTTCAATCTTACCATTGCAATGAGTTTAATTATCAATGAATCAGGTTTGATGGAAAGGACTAATTTCTCACAAACGAATCAATGTTTGCATTTTTACTGAAAGATATGTCCATATTTAGCGCGTGAAATAAGATTGCCTCCAGAAACAAAAAACTCTAAGGTGAACTCTCTCAAGTCTGAACCCTTCATCGTGACGAATAAGAGCTAGCTCAGAAAAACGTCCCGTGCTGAATATTAGTTTGTCATCACTCGTCTCCGGTCAATGCCTGCAATATGCATGCCTGCCTCTCCAAATTGATAGGAGCCTATCAGTGTGTGATCTCCTGAAATGCCTTCGGCTGGCTGCCTTCTTCTTGTTTTTTTCCTTTTAATTATTTAGGTGGCCTGCGAGGGCCCCGACCACGCCCTGGCCTTCCCTCATCCTGATATGGACACTCTCGTGCCACCTAATTAATCTCCCTTTGTTATTATTATATCTCATTCGTCTCCCGCATGCCTGCCTTGGTTATTTCAAACTGTGAAAACAGAGTTTATCATTTTTAAAATACCATCTTAATTGTTTAAATTATCCCCCAACCAAAAGCAATCCAAAAGCTACAAAGTAAGTAACGTACGTGCCCTGCTGATTCATGGTTTCAGTAAATTCCGCACCCCTTTCGCGTCTCTCCCCGGTCAAATACGCCTGTTTTACCAGTGCCCCACCCACCTCCACACACCCCCGCCATCTTTATCTCTCTCTGCTAAAAACTAAACTGTGATATATGGACAGAGCACTTGCGTACGCACCTACTGATTTGATCTGCCTAATTAAAGACGATGACCTTTATGGGGTGCTTTTTAATATTAATTAACTCATGAGCGTTACAATAGAGGCTTGCCTAATGAAGTTAGGATGCAAAACTACCCACATCTCAGTTTCTGTTCTTTATTCTAGGGTGGCATGATTTAGTCATCTGTGTGAATGAGACTCTTTCTTCTTGACCTAAACTCACACACACAATTAATATAATAAAGTTAAAGGAAGGAGGGCAGGAAAAAAAAACAGATTTTTTTTTAATCCCACTCGTCCGCGAATGGATATGAATGACACTCTCTCTGTGCGTGGCATGCCCACTTCTAGATGCTTCGTTCCAATTAAATACGATTAGCCAGCAGTCATCTCGATCAGCATTAATAAATCAACCAGTTCCCATTAAATCCAATGATTTAAAGTGAAAACGATGTTCTCTCGGCTACGTATTGCGAATACTAACCTCCACTGCTAATTGTGCAGCCTAACTTTTGTTGATTTTTCTGTGCTAATTAATCTCTGTCCCTTTTGTTTCACAGTTAATTATTCAGGAGAAAACGAAACAGATAACAGTACCATCAAATATTTGACTTTTAGAAACGGGGAAGAAAGGCTATATTTATTTTGTATACACACATGACGGATAGATCAGTATTTATATTATTGGCAATGAGTTGAGTAATGAATATTGAGCAGGAAGGGAGGAAGATGATGAGGGAAATGAATTAACTAATCAATTAAAGATGAAGCTGATATGGAGGACCATTGGGAAATGAAGGAAGAGGCAATAAAATAATGGGCAAGTGTCTGAAAGAGGGCCAACTGTCTCAACCTATGAAACAGTGTTAGGTTTACGAGGATATATGAAGAGGGCCCTACACACTTATCTCAGATTGCTGCGCTTTACGTTAGTAAATCACCAATAATTGCCACCCTCCCCCCAACCCCACAACCTCACTCGCAAATCTCAATGGCCCACCATTTTCCTTTTTTTTTAAAAAAAAAATTCCCCTCCGAATCTTCATGGCCAGGATGACAGCTTTATTTATGTTTTTTGGTTCCTGATTTTTTTTTGCATATTAGGGAAGGAGATTAAGGATTAAGAGGGAGGAGGCACATGGGCCGGGTCGTTTCCGGGTTAAAATCTGGAGTGGAGTGACGTCAGGGTATGGCAATCCAAGGGTGGAGATTGATGGCGGAGAAGCAATGATTCAGAATAAAGGCGAGGATGTTTTATATGTGGACTTAGGGAGGAAGGAAGCACACGACGACCAATATTTATGTTTTATATGCGCCGTTTCCATGCGTGGCGTCACAAAACGTCAGACCGTTTTGCTTTGCGATTGCGGTTCAGTTTGGTTTGGCTGTGCATAAAGTCAGGGCCGGTTTAGATGCCCAAGCTAACACTTTCTCCATCCTTCCATTCCAATCCAATCCATCTCCGCTCCTTCTTTTAACAGCGTATTATGACACAATCAATGACTGGGGGAAAAAACTCTTACAGGCAATAAATATTCATAATTATTCAAGAATCAAAATTTGAACTGTATACAAAGTACGCGTACACTTCGCGGTCAAATTTAATATACATATAAACAACCCCTCCACGTGGGCTGTGTGCACATCAAACTGAAATATATATATATATATATATATTGTCTATTTCTTATTTTTTTGACCGGTAACAATATTTTTCGCGTTTGGGTGTGAGGGCAGTGAAGGAGATGGAAATAAGAGATAGATAGGGTACACAGGGGCAGCTTTTTTGAGGATTAAAAAAAGGGAAAAGATAAAAAGGAGCATTAGGATAGATGATGGTTGTTTATGTTGTCTGAGGCAAATAATTAAAAGGGTGGAATCGCTAATAATGATATTTTGTTTTTCAGAGGGATGATGCCTCCCGGGGGGGATGGGGTCCACACGCTTTGGTTCACTATATATATTTTAATGAAATTTTTAATTAAAAAGGGAATATATTCCCATTCCGAAAGCGGTGGGGATGGTGGCGGCAGAGTGCCTCCTCTTCTCTTCCCCTATTTAACCTTAATCACATCCTTAATTAATTCCAATCAGACCTGAGAGCAGCCCCAAAAAATACTATATGCTCAATTGATTTCTCAACATTCATAAATGAGCCATCCCATCTCTCACCATTATCGATTTATTCATAAAAAAAAATAGGCGTTGATTTTTAAGGGAACAGTGATTAAAGAAGCATGCATGAAGGTAGTACAGAGATAATAAACAAAGGCGGGGGATGAGGAAGTCAGTTAATGCGGTTGATAGGGGCATTAAACAAATGGGGAGGAATTTCAATTCAAACCCCCCCCCCCAAAAAAAAAAACGCCTTCGGCAACAACACAAAAAATCCTAATTCCTAATCCCAACTTGGCGTCTCGTCGTTTCATCCCTTCGCCCCTAATCCTCCTTCTTCTT